GGGGTTTCACCATGTTGACCAGGATGGTCTCGATCTCTTGACCTCATGATCCACCCGCCTCGGCCTCCCAAAGTGCTGGGATTACAGGCTTGAGCCACCGCGCCTGGCCCACTCTGAACATTTTTAAAGTAAATTTAGTGTAACCCAATTGTACAATGTTTACAGAGTCTACAGTAGTGTACAGTCATGTCCTAGGCCTTCACATTCACTCGCCACTCACTCACTGACTCACCCAAAACAACTTCCAGTTCTACAAGCTTTGTTCATGGTGAGCACCCTCTACAGGTGGACCATCTTGACCTTTTATGACATATTTTTACTGTAACTTTTCTGTTCTCATGTTTAGATACATAAATATTTACCACTATGTTGCAGTTGCCTACAGTGTTCAGAACGGCCACACGCTGTACAGCTTTGGCACCTAGGAGCAATAGGCTACACCATATAGCTTGGCCGTGTAGTAGGCTCTGCCATCTAGGTTTGTGTTGTTACACTCCATGTTGCTTGCACAAGGACAAAATCACCTAATGATGCATTTCTCAGAAGAGTATCCTAGTGGTTAAGTGACACATGACTTTATATGCAACCTGAAGCTCTCAGAGCTTCCCCATCTTCATCTATAAGCCCAGGGAGAGGAATAAGTGATTCTCCAAAGCTGCACCTTTTTCCATAAACATTAGGATGAAGGGCTGAGATGATGGCTGTTAGAATTATGTTGAGAAACAGTAGAGGGATCTGAGAAAGCAAGACCATGAGATGAAAGTGGAGAAAAGGCGGTTTGAGTTGAGCCCTGATGAGGTTCATGCTCATGGTTGCTCAACCATCAACACGGGCTCATCACGCCTGTTTCCAGATTACTTCTAGAACTTAGCTACTCTCATTTTATAAGATGGAATGAAAATGTGTACTACATACAGATCACGAAAACACACAAAGAAAATGCATCTACACATTGCAGGTACTCAGTTAGATTTATTTCTAATACCACCACCCACTTTCCAATTGGAAGGAAAGAAGGGCTAGAACATTAAAGTTTCCATTTGTGCTGAGACTCAACTTAGCTATTTAGAAGTTATTTTAGCAGACTTCCCTCCAGTGGAAAAATAAAACCGGGATAACTAGTTTGACTTTTTTTTTTTTTTTGAGATGAAGTCTCACTCTGTCATTAGGCTGGTGTGCAGTGGCATGATCTTGGCTCACTGCAACCTCCACCTCCCAGATTCAAGCAATTCTCCTGCCTCAGCCTCCTGAGTAGCTGGGAC